GGGAAAGACCACAAAAGAAGAGTTTCATAGAATATAGGCGGTGAGCATCGGTCATATTTTTCATATTTTGAAAGAAAACGAGACAAGCAAAACAAAAGAAAGGTAATTAGCACATTTCTGAAAAGTTTGAGCTAAGCAAACATAGTAAGGTATTATCTTCTCAGCCTTGAAAATGAACAGAAACCGCCATATAATCTCATGTATAGCTCTGTACACATCGAATTGTAGGTTCACATGAAACTGAGTTTCAACTCACGGTTGTTTCTGTGTATTCATTATTCCTTCGGCTGTTTTTATTTCTCGTGGTTCTTTTACCACATTTATCTTTCATATTTCTTGTACTATTGTTACTTGTTTATATATTTTTACTAAATCTGTATACGTCGCTCTGTCTCTTAGTTCTCATATTCTTGCGTCTATCTTTTATTCCTTTCGTTACCCTGACTCATTCAAAGACGGTATTTTGTTACTTCACTACTTTTTTAATAATATTCACAGGTCTCATTGAATTTATTGTGAAGTTTAGCATTCTTTAACTACTCCTATGATAATACAGAACCACATAATAAACCTTTTCTTAATAAAATGCATCGTGAGCTGCTTTGAGAAGAATGCAAATAATAAAGTATAAGAAAGAGAAGAAAAACATAGAATGCATCACTTAATCAATTTTTTGTTTAACTTAGAAAATGTGTGTCGTTCATATGCTGTCAACTTAGTGGAACCTAAGAAAGCTATTATAATGGCATATGCTTCTGCCAGAAGTATTGAAAACTGGTCGTGTTTACTTCACCCTTGTATGGAAAATTCATAACAGCTGCTATTGGAAGTAGCATGAGCGAAGAAAAGAAATAAAAAACTAACAAGAGAGAAACTAATTAAAGAAAGAGCATGAGTAATAGAATTCATTAGCAAATGATTGAAAATGTTGGCTATTATTCTACTCCATATCTCAACTACAAATGAGCCCCACTGAGACGAGATAAAATCTCAAAAGTGTTCATCTCCACATTGACCTCAGGTCAAGCATTCGAGTTTTGAACAGTTTTTCTTCGGGAAACTCCACCTTTCAAGCAAAACTTTTCTTGACATATATACCATCTCAGATTGTGAGAAATACTCGAAATAATATATACCACTCCAGTCGCTAAACGGTTAAAATAATAAATAATAATTTATTTAATAACCTACATAAATCTTGTTAATGATTTGTATGGACAATGCACGATTTTATTGTATTTATCCAAAAGCTTGAATACAAAAGCTTTATTTTTTCAATAAAAAATTCGGCACCAATGGGTTAAGTGGAATAACTTCACTCTAATTCTAAAACCCACATCAACTTAGATCGTAAAATCCACCCATAGTCCTTCTTCTCACCCTTTCTTCACCTTCATCCCACACCCCAACCTGAATTTCACTGATAATATTGCCTAGAGATGATGTAGAAATTCAAAATGCAGCTCGTTATGCTTGAAATAAAGCAGGCGACAAGAATTTTATAGTTTTATCTTTTAGCTAATTTCTAGACGACATTATCAGCAGATTACTTTTAGAGTAATATAAGATGTCCAAAGGCGACATTATTCACAATGAAAGCAGACTTTCCTATTTCAAAACTTGAAGATGTGAGAGAAAGGATAACTGAGAACAGCACATTCGTGTCCAGAGATTTTTGCTGTATTCAACTAAATAGTTGGAGAAATGGTAACATTTGATCCAGATTGTTACGGTCTTACTTTTGAGGAATTAGCGTTTTTACAGCATTCAATTTGATGCAAGAAATCGTTCTCGTTCGAATTTTCATCATTGGATATCATAAAACAGATTTTAGTTGCTGAAGATAGGGTCAAGTCATCAATGGTTTTATTAATTAATAGTCTGTAAGATTCCCTATTAGACAATCAACATTCTCAGTGTTCAGCGAAATTCTCTTCGCTTAGGAAAGTGAATTACCAAAAAGCAAAAAAGATAGCTAGTGTTCAATAATTACTTTGCATTAAAAAACATCGAAGCGAAATCATTTAACTACTTCCCAAATTACATCTTATATCTCGTCGTCCATACTTTCTATGTTCCCTTTTACACTAGGTTTTGATCGCTTATTATTCGAGGAAACGGTGAAAAGTAAAGAGCCCTAAACTTTAGTCCAGTGATTTATTTGATTGTAAGGTTATTTTTCTTTTTGTTGAAATAGACTTGAACTATTCTTTGAAATTTAGATACTGAAGTTCAACTCTACGATATTCAGAATTCTGTATCTAAGAACAACTCTTTTATCATCGTCATCATTTTAGAATTATACTCTTCACCAACGAAAGTATTACAACATGTACTGTTCAGTAGCTTTGATGACTTTTTTTATTCTCTATTGTTCATCAACAACATATGGAAAGTATATGGATACCAAATACCAAAATGACTCCGGAATAAGGAATAAAAGATGTAAGTATTAAATCGAAATTTCAGTATTTATCGTTTAATGACATCAAAACATTGAACAGTATGGAACCAGTCTAAAAGATCAGATGATTCGTAATCTCACATTATACTCAGTAGACCATGTAAGATGGACCGAACCAGGCGAAACTTCCATGATTTGTAGAATTGAATACGCTAATTATTTTGGCACTAGATAAGTTGAGTTTTGTTGGATTGTTACCAAGATATTCCCAAAATACCCCAAACGACTCAATTCCATTTTTGCAAAATTTAAAAGAATTTTATTTGATTTCCATGCAGAAAACTGCCGAAGGAAAATATTTGACACTTTGATAGGACAAAAAATTGTGCATATAACTCAACATTACTTTGACATTAACTTAGGCTCTTTATCTTTAAGTACAAGAAACTTTGCGTATTTTTCGAGAGAACACGGAAAATTGCCTCGTTGCAAAGAGTCTCATCATTCCTGGAAAATTTAGTACCATTTGAATCAAAGTTTGAAAAATCCTTGCCGAGAGCTGTAATCTCTTCAAGATTCACGCTGTTTATTATCAATTAACCTCTTGAATACCTTAAAATCTGCGTTCTGCATGAGGCTCAAGAGAAACAAAGAAGAATTTGATATGTTACATTCTACCACAAGTTCCATGTCTGATGAAGTACCCGTTCTCTTCCATTTTATGCCATGTATGAGATAACACCACATATGACTCAATACAAGAAAATCTGTATCGTGCACTCTGCCATGAATACTACACTCATTATATTGATAACTATGATGTTTAAGAGTCTAAATTTTTAAGTTGACTAAATCGGATTCAACATCGAATATTAGTTCAGTCAACTATTATTGAGTCGATTTTCCAAACCAGGTAGTATATCCGGTGAAGTTTATTAAGCTCATCGGTAGCTACCTCGATTCGAGAATCTTGCGAAGGAATCAACTGCTCGAAGGAGGACAAAACTCGGTATGCATGCCTAGAACTTTTGTTTTATCACTGAGAAAAATGAATTTTACTAGCCGAAATTGCATTCTATAGGTACTTGCTTTCCAGACTTTAACAAAAGGTCATAAATTATCGCTTCAACAGAGATGAGTAACTTTTAGTATTTGTAACTCCAACTTCATGTTTCCGATACGGAACTCCACTTCAAATTCTGTTTGATTCCAGTGAAACTCCGAGTCAACATAATTGATTTTTAAGTATCATTTTTGAAAAACTTCAGTTTGTTTTCATGGTGATTGTAGCATCTCAAAATACGGGCTGAGCAGTTGTAATTAACGATACGCTACTTTGGTGATGCATTGACTTGAAAAACTCCGCATTCGACTTGATTCATGAGACTTTGTACAGTATTTATTTTGGTAGGCTAGCTCGATGGGAATGCATAAGAAGTTCACCCAACGAAAATAATCTTTATCTAAGAGTAGGCTTGGTGAGAACGTCCAATCATCACAGTACGACTCTATAAAAACTAGGAATTTGATCCCTTTTACCAAAACCATACGCCTGTGGCTGCGTGTATATGCTATCTAAAAGTTGCAACTGATTCGTTGGCAGTATTTTGGCGCTATCACGATAACAATCGCACAGAGCTCCAATATCTCTAGTGTCAGGTCAATGAACGTAGTGAACTCTAAAACCTCTGAAAGTTTTCCTGAATTCGATGATGTTTACCCGATACAGCCAGTGGTTTCTCGTTGATTTATGCCATCAGTTAGTAATTTAACAGGAACTTGTAAATTGATAAGTTAGAAAGGATACCTCAAATAAGTTAAACTTGTTGCGAATCAATATAATTAACAGGAATCGCAGTACAAGTGTTCATGATCACTAACATGTAAAGATCTAGATTGACAAATGTAGATTATTTTGCCATTCTCGTTCTAGCACAGCCTCCATCTGATAATGCACGACACAAGCTCGTGTCTCTCATCGCTGATGTGCGCAAAGCCGATGGACGTCGCTACAGCTCTCAAGATCACCTCGGCCATTCCATGGATTGTCTCAAAATTATCAAACGAATTGGTAGCGAAGAATTCATCGGTGTTTACCATACTGTCATTGATGGCATTCCTCGGGTATATTTGGCAAGATCCACCGATCTACTACAATGGACATGGCTTCAAGAACTTGCTTACCAAGCATCGCAACCAACTATTGCCGTGCCAGGTGATCAACCACAAGGCTTTATAGTTGCATGGGAACAAGAACCTAGAAATCATTTACAGTTTGCCTTCTACTCTACATGGGACAATCTTCGAGCGGGAAAAGCCCAAAAGACGTTCGATGCAGCGCGTACTTTGTCCCCATGTGCAGAAGGTACGCCGAACATCTATGGTCAGCCAACAGTGAATCGGATCGATATTGGCTTTCATTACTTTGAGAAATGCGTTGTCGACCGTCAAGCTCGTGGGCTCCTTCTTAATTTTAATCAATGGACTGAAGTTCGTAAAGTATCCACTATAGACAATGCCATACTATATCATGGTGTACAAGGCAATATTGGTGATCGGGATGCTTTGTCAAACTTCGACGGATATACATTTACCATCATCGAAGGACAATATAAACCAAATGATTTTGGGACATGGCGTATATTTATGTACGATCCACAGACGAACAATGCTGACAAGGTACCTATTCTAACAGACGGCGGAAGTCTGGCATTCGCTAATCCGACAATGACTCGAACAACTATGAAGGGACAGGACATTTTACTTGTTACTCTCTTTCTACCTAGTGAACAAGCAGCTCCCGGTGAAGCTGGAGAACTTATATATTATCACAAACTGATCACTGGGACTGTTAAAGGTGTGTATGATTGTTTCCACCAACCAGAACTTACTGAAGAGAGGTATTTTTTTCCCACAAATACACAGTCTTAGTACTGATAAGAACAGAAAAATGTCGTTGAACGCGCTTTCTTCCAGACGTCTGAATACTATCAAGATTTCACCAAAATGCAGTTAAACACTAAATATTCGTAGTCATTTAAAATGGTACGACTTGCATTTATTTGCGTTCTTTCAAAGACGTTTCAACGCGTAAACTACATCATAGCATCATCTCGCTTTTTCTGACATACTCAACATCGGTTATTGCCGTCCTTGACACTTACAGTTTTTCTCAATTTTTTAATGATTTCTTCCTGATTATATGTCTGTTTGAGGTAAAGAAAATCATGAATGGTCCGTCCCCATATGTCTTTGTTCTTCATTTAGATAGGCTATTGCTTTTCGTCTATGACAAGGTAAACTATTACATAACATATTGAAAATGTCATTGTGAATTTTGTGTAATAACAAATATTGAAGTTTTTATCAGAATGAATGTTTCTTTTCTAGTACTAGAAATCAATAGAATAGATGTAGTCTTTCACAAACAGATTTTTTTTTAGAAAACTGGACTTTCGAAAAAAAATTCATCATGAATGAAAAATTCGACATCTTATAGTTTCTGGAACACTTCTTTTTGAACAAAAAAAATTTACCGAGAGTATATGTTATCATAGACTACAAAAAAAATTAGACGGCTAACTGAAGAAAAAGGCATGAGAACGAATTATTCCGGATTTTCTTTCTTCTAGACACATCTATATAAGTAGAGAAACATCATGGCTATAGCTTTTGAAAACGAGAAAGATTTACTCATTTGATCGTTTGTCTGATTTTGTCATAGCTCTCGCACGCATTCCATTTTCACTAATCAGGCAACTGTAGCCATATACTTCGGAATGATTTGAAATCAACAAAATGTCCTGCTCGTCCTAGTGATTATATCTGTCCTCTTACATAAGTTCTGATTTGTAATATTTTCTTGAACACTAAAAATAGAAACCTAATATGAAGTCCTCAACAAAAAGTACTGTAAAGTTCCTTCACTATCCTTATTGGCTTTTTAGTGGCTTAAAAATTAAGCAGTATTTTTGTAGAACTTCGACAGTTCTATCTTTTTGTTGTAGTAACAATTCAAAATGCTCAAACTGGGCTCAGATTAGATTCAAATGCTGATGGACAAGCGTATACACATGTCCCAAATGGTGGTCCATACCAAGTTTGGCAAATTATAAATACCAATGAAAACAGTTTTAATTTAAAAGACAATGCAACAGGCCTAGTTTTAGATAGCAATGAAAATGGTAACGTTTATACATTAACTGGAAATGGAGGTGCATATCAAAAATGGACATTTAATGGCCTAACTATTATACATGTCGCAACTGGGAGAACATTAGATTCTAATTATGACGGAAAGCTTTACACACTGCCGCCAAATGGAGGAAACTTTCAAAATTGGATTCGTCAATAAATAAAGGAAACATCCACCGGAAACAATGAAAAACAAATAAGACACTAAAAGGATTGGTTAGTCTTGTTTTTCTATTGAAGACGCTTTTGAGATTGTTAGCATTGCGGGTGTGGGTGTGGGGTTTGGGTGTGGGTGATCATGCAAGTCAAAATAACATCGACACCCACACTCACACTCACACCACCCACACCCACACCCTTTTCTAAATTCAATGTATTTTAACATAAATAAATAACTATTTCAAGAAGTTAGTACAAAATCAGTAAATCTAAGCAGAATTATGAACTATTGTCCATTGATGTAAGACATTGTGTCCATAGAAAAGTACATTTAATATAAAACAATTCAACATTAACTTCAAATCGAAAAGTAAAATATTGCATCATAATTTTTTGATAAATTATTCTCATTGGTGTTAATTTAACGATTCACCATTTAGAATAAATCTCGTTTTTACTGATTGTCTTTAACTAAAGACTGACTGAACTAATACCATTGTAAAATGACTTTCAATCAAAATAACGATTCAAATTAATTAAAATTTCAAAAACTCAGTTTCTATACTAGTAAGCATAGAAGACGTTCCTTTGGTATATCAAGCTGGAAAATCTTTTAAGGCATTTTTAACTTCTTGTCATCTTATGTAGAAAAAAGATGAATTTCAAAATTATACTGAAAATCAGTTTTTAATCTATTTTTCAATTGAGTTGTTTCCATCATGAAAAAAATGAATTACGATACTAGATCAAATCCTCTTATATGTACAATGCCATGAAAGTCTACATAATGTGACTTTTATGCATATATTAAAAATAAAACAAAAAGTTGATGTTTTTGCTTTGATCATTATTTTATTTTCAAAATGCGAAAAAAATCAGACGAAAATATGAATTACGATTCATTCTTAAAGTGAACTTTATTTATATAGGTAATATTTTACTTCAAGTATCAGATATATATGTCTGTGGTCCAATCTACAGTATAACAAATGCAAATTACTGAAAACGCATTGATAAATAATATTATTCAATACTATTTAGAAATAATAATATCTTCATGGATAACTCATCACTTTCACTGGAATGCTTTTTCTATAGAAATTTGTTGTATTCACTAGATCAAAGATACCAGTCAAGTATCAGGAGCAAAAAGAGTTCGTTGGAAGGTTGTGTTACTTCAATGCATCCTTACTAAGAAACTAAATATCTACTCAAAAGATTGTTTTTGACAGTGTTTTGATAAACGATCTAAATCTTCAATATGAAAAATATAATTAGAAAAACATTTTCATCACCACTTTTTTGAACCGTTTCTCAATTAACGAGTGCAAACATAGATTTATTCAACAACTTTTTTCATAAATGTTTTAGATACTCTCTGGAGCTGTCATTTACATTTTAAAATGATATTAGTAGCACAAGATGTCATCAAATGCAAAATTTTGATGTATGAATCTCATTAAATTTAGTAAACAAATATGTAGGACAGTGCATAACATACGTCATAACATTCTGATTCTTTGACGAATGTCTTAAACATTCTTACGGCAACTTAAGAAGATAAAAAGCAGATTAACTTATTTTTACTTAACAGAATGAGAGACAATGCTTCTTCTTATTCATAGGCATATTATCTCGCTCTATAAGTATCTATGCCAGAAAGTAGGAAGTGTACGAGCTAGATGATTTAACAGTGAGATTAACAAATTAATCAATCACAATCTTTTTATGGAAATCCACATATTTTCTTTGAAAATATTTCTTGTAAGTTTTAAATCTTAGTTTTATAACTGTTCTAGAACATTAAAAAGTTTTCGTCGTGATTTGAACAGCAAGAAGCAGAATTACGTTTAAATAAAGTACATAGATTAACGTCTATAATCCGCTTGTTAAGAATAACGGAAAACGACGCATTGAAAATAATGATGTTGTAGATTTCTTATTTCATATATTTTCTCCTAGCTCATTGTAGTTTAATGCGATTAAAAACAGATGTTTTACCCTTAAAACCTCAAAGAGCCACATGAAAAACACTTGTGTCCTGGTTCTTGTCTATATATGCTTTTATTTTAGTTAGAGAGAATAAATACCAAGATATAATTTTTATTGTCAAAAAGAACTTTTGATTATCAATCAGAGGACAACGGGATAAAGTAGTAGAGAATTCGTAGATCGTTTCTAGTTTCAGATATAGTTCAAAAAGAAGCGAAGATCACATGATATTTTTCCTACTAAAGATCTTTGTTCTATAAATACTGTTAGCCGGTTTGAAGAATACCAACTTTTGAAAAATGATCCATAATTTGAAAATTTTGCTGGTCTTCGGCTAAAAACCTTTTTATGAGAAAGTTCGCGTTACAATATAAGTCTTGATTATTAGAGACCGTTAATACGAAGAGATGAGTGAAATAAGCAGAAAAACGAGTTTGATAATGAAAAACATCAGGTCGGATGTGAGTGCGGGTGTGGCTGGGTGTCGTGAAGACAGGATAAACACCCACACCCACACCCATATGCATTCAAATGTTTATTTGATGGTACGCTGTGTTTGAGATGAAATCTTTAAGAAAGATCCTATGAAATGCTCGAATAAACAACACTCGAGAATCTCTGTTAATGAACGGTTATATTTTGAGAAATATTCTTTTTTCCAATAGCAATATTCAAAGATAAATTGTGATGATTAATCCAGTTCAAATTTGTCGTATAAATATTACTTATCTTTTTTCAGCAAGGAGCTGTGGAAAAAACCGAAGAAAAACAAAGTAAAATAATTGAACATTAAGAATGGGTTATAATGTTTTTTCCTAATCGACATTGGATGCCTTTCTTATCGCTTTTCACTGTTATTCTTCTGTAGAACTTCATTTAATCGATAGAACAATTCGACATAATTATTCAATGCTATATAGTCTAAACAGACAAAAAAAAGACAGCACGAGATTGGACTCATCAAAAATAATATTCTAATTGATAAAAAGTATATAAATTGTAAAATGATATAATATTCGACCTATCAATGTGCATTTTCTCGAAATAAAGGAATCATGATTTTACTGAACAAAAAGAAATATTAATTAGATCTGGTATGTTCTGATTTTTTGGGAAATGAATTCCCATTTATTGGAGAATGTGTGTTTTGAAGTCCATCTTAAAAGCAGAACTTCTTTTAATTTTCTACATAAATAAAAAGGAATAGTTTAGAACTGTGACAATGAAGAATATGCATCTATTTAAGTTGTTGAGTAGTTATAGTGACTGTTTAACTAATATTTAGTAAATTAAAAGTTGCTATAACTAGTTTTTAGAAAATTGCATTTTCGATAACTAGTTTTACTAAATGATGAATGAATTAAAAATTCATGACAATTGGATAATAATAGTTCAAGAATTTTAATAAGTTAGAGCAATTACATTGCCGAAGATATATGAACAGTTACATAAAACTCAAGTAGGTATTAAGATTTATTTAAATAGTTGCATGCTTATCGAGAAACGTATTTCTTTTGAGAAGCTACGGGGAAGGGCAATCTACTACGAACAGTTCGATTGTTCACTTTTATCAGAGAACCTTCGGAGCTTTTTGTAGTAAAAGGGGGTGAATGTCAATCAATACTAGAGAAAGAGGCCCACACCGACACCCACACCCTCGTTCATTTTAATAGTAGTTTTGGGAGATCAATTTATTTAATAAAAAGGCTAACGGGTTCTATGTAGCAAACAGCTGTAACTCAGGGTTGCCAAACCTCCTGATTTTGGCAGCGCATCAGGGGTTACATTGGTCTATGTTGAAAAATCAGGAAAATAGATAGAGCACAAGCTAAAAGAAAATGGGGTATATGGGGTGTCGGGTGGGTAGGGATGTCAGTGCTCGAGCACTTTGAGGGTAAGAAATACACCCACACCCACACCCCTAGGTAACGCTACTCCTCCGGTTTCTAAATGTTGATCAACAATAAACTAAATACTGCAGTAGTAATGAAATAGTCTATCCATATGTCGTTACAACATCCACACACCAAGAGTTTGAAACTCTTGGAGTAAAGTCATGGGAATCATATAATAAGGCAGAGTGTGAATTCCTAGGGCATTTTTCTAACGTAGAAAAGTTAAAGATGGCTTTGATCGAGTCTACGCTTAAATTTTTCCAAATTTTGTATTTTTACTCTCAGTAAAAGTGTATGAATGTAGATGCACGAAATAACTAAACATAAGCATGGCGAAATTTTTATAAGAAGGTATGCTTTGTGTTCATAATGAGTAATTTAAATAATCAGTAGTAGCGTCTACGTAGTACATAAAATCATAAACTTTTTTTTTATACAGAGTAAAAAAATATTAATTATCTCATAAATAGTTTCATTTCATTATTTGAAATATAAAATCATTTATTTTTCGAAACAAAAATAGTTAAAAAATAATATATGCAAGATAAAATCAATCATAGAGATGCATCAATACAAAATGATTCACACAAATATAAATCAAAGCTTTTGTTGATTGGTTCTAAAAAATTGTACTTAACAAAAAAGAAGTAAATCTTTACACTTGTCAAATATAGGCACAGAATCCAAGTTTCTAACGTCTCATGGCATGCATTGCACTCGTAATTGCTTCAACCATGTACTAAAATAAATGTCACAATTGATATAAATGAATTATTTATTTGTACCAATAGTAAAGACAGGCTTTATCAGGATCTCCGTTGTCGAGAAAGAAATAAAATATACATCTGCATAGTAGTAAGCCGTGCCTTTACTATTGATACGAATATATCAAACAGATTTATTTTGTACGATGAACTCAATAAATCTCGCATGAAAATAATCAAAAAAGTTTTCAATTTACTTTAGCTTCAGAAACACTTCTATATTTAACTAATTTTGGAACTGCCTGAATTGTTTTTGTTTTTAGAAGTCCAGTTGTCTTTGATTCCTAAAAAGTAACAATAAACTCAATTAACATTTCACTGTTATTGAATCAACTAGAAATAACAAATCCATTTATTAGTGTCCTCACTAAGTATTGTGGTTGAGTTGCTTGGTTCTTTCTCGTACTTACTTTGGATAAAATATGGATTTGATCTGTACTTGTGTTTATACTCGGTACTTCGTTTAATTCTTCATATGCAAGTTGCCAATCAATTTTATATAAACCAAGAATTGATACTTCAGTAATAAATAATAAACTCCTGAAAATATTGAAAATCAAACTATGAATTAAAATATATAATTCTATTTTACTTTGAAGTAGCCATTAACCAACATAGTGGATCTTCTGAACAAGTTATATGAGCAATGTATGTCTCTCTCTTCGCAATATTACCATCTTCTAATCGCTAAAAAATTATTAAGAAAAAGGTAAACATTGGAAGGATTAATGGAAAAGACTAATATTACATTTAGAATATAAAATCCCATAGCTTCATGAGCAATATATGGCCTAACGAGACCATCAGGATTGATATGACGTGGATAACGAACACGACGAACAAGTTCTTCTTGTTGAGCGGTTCTAGAAGAGAATGAAATTTGAGAAAATATTATTATTAACTTAGATTCAGTAAAGTATTTTGATGTATCTCGAACATGTTTACTTAAGTGGTTATTTTCATGCTTGTAATTCTGTTTGATCAATGAATAGTATCCATAGACGAGATTATCTTACCTTTTGATAAGATCAAATGATGAACTAGCAAAATCGACGACTCCGCCCGTCGGTCGTGCAACAAGACCAATAAAACCTTTTCCTAAACCTTTAAAAAATCCAGATGCTCCACTGTCTTTTGCTCCTTCAATTGGCTTTGTCACAACACCTGTAAAGCCATGAACAAAACCCTATATTAAAACATAAATAAATCTCCAAATCAAATATAGAGAAAAAAAGCCTTGACAAACCATGACAACATTTTTTCCACCCACAGCTATATGTGATGCGGTAGTAGCGCCTGGTTCTTTGCGACGAACACGTGAAGCCTTATAATCTTCATCAAATGTTAATGTTGCCAAGCCTTTTCCAAGCACACTTGTTATTTTTGAGACAGCACCAGCAGCACCACCAACAGCTGAACCAAATAATGCTCGTACACCAGTTGCTACACCTTCAGCGAATTCTAGAGGACCTTCAATTGCACCCTTGAAAAAAAAATTCAAATGTCATTATTTAGTGATTAGTTTTTATTTTAAAATATTACTTTATAAGGTTCATAAAAGAATGATTCAACACCTCGAGCAAGGCCATGAATAACAGCAAGCGGGTTTCCAAGTACATCAAGTCCAAGTATCAACACGTGGAGTTGTTTCATAAATTGATTTTGATAATGAGAGGAGACCTCATTAGTTAATTTTGTTGTCGTAAACTTTTCATTATTTCGCTCGTAATAACCCAATCTAAAAAATTGAAACCATTCAAATTGAATTCACTGGAACAAAAATCTTACCGTAAAATAACATCTTGTACTTCGGCTACATTCAACGTTTGTAAAAGAAATCCAACTAAGGGATATTCATTTAATAGTTCTTTACTTGGATTTGACCCGTGCATCGAAAAACTAACATGAATCTAAATAGAATTGAGTGATTTAACACCAAACGTAGACCTATTTTTAATACCTTAAGTGGTGATAAATGAATATTATCAAAGAACATTTCGGTTTCACCCGATGGACTATCAATTTGGGATTTAATGATAGTATCAAATGGTTTTCGAATTTGTTCTAAATCGCTATTCATATTGATCATTGGTGGTGAATTAATCTATTCAAAGAAGAGAAAATAGGAAATACTGCAAAATCTTGCAATTAAAACAAACAGTATATTGTGTCAAGAAGCTAAGAATGGCAACGATTAAACCTTGATCAATTTGAACAGCAAATTCTTGAATAAGTAATTTGAAATATTTGAATTGTTTTATATTTGATTGTGTCAATTTTGATTCATAAATACTCAATTCGATGAATGGTCTTCCAATATATTCACTTCCTGTTGATTTTGGAATAATAGGATAAAGCATTACAGGAAAGATTGTATAACTAAGTTGATTATCAATTTGTAAACGATTGATACGTAAATGTAATGCAGAATTCATTGTTGAAGAGAATGAGTATTCAATCCATAGACTATCTAATGCTTGACGTTTCGCAGTTTTCTTTCGATCTTTATAATCCACTAGTTCTGCTGTATCACCATGAAATGTGATTTCCTTTACATACAATGAGAAGAATTCACAAATGAATTGTATAATTGATAATGAAATAAGATAATAAGTATCATACCTGAAATCCTTCCATTTGATATTTCTTTTCCAGAAGTTGTTTATTATCTGGATTGATTTCGCATTGTTCAATATGAGTTCGATAAAGTTCTTCTAAATGTTCATTGTTATCAGAAGATAAAAGTTTAACACGAGATTTCTTCATTTCAGTCCAAACAGTTTTGGATTTATTTAAACTTATATAAAAGATTTCTTCTCGTGATATATCATTAACAATAGAAATACCAATATCCTGTATACCAATTTGTATTTGTTGATCCATAGAGTCACTGAATGATGATTTCTATATAAATAATTTATTTAGTTTTGATAATTAAAAACGAATAAGAACTACGTACGACTGCAATCATTTGAAGTAATTTCGAATCATCACAGAAGAGTAATACTGTTTGAACACCATCAAGAAATATAGCATAAACAGGGTCACCTTCTTTGCCTAATGGACCAATTTGAGGCTAGAAAGAAGATATTTTCATTAATAAAATGTCAATCGAGAACATCTAAAAATTCTGAGGAAGTTCAAGAAGCTTGTTCTCGAGTGTAGATTGCTTAGGATACTGATGATTGATTTTAATTCTTCGATCTTTATGATGATGATCACACGTAGTTCTCAACTGATACGAAATTTACTGTATTAGAATGAAAGAAATCTCTTATACATTTCACCGAATATACCGAAATTGGAAAACATGAAAAAAAAACAACGTAAGAAATAATAAATTCTAACTTACAATAAGTTCTAACTCTTTTGTTTGTGAGCCACGTGATACAAGTAATAATTTTGGTTGCAATGGATCTACCCATGTATAATAAACATAATTCAATGGTGGTAAGATTTCTGTTCGTCTACATCAAAAATCAACATAATGAAATTTCTTCTGGAAAAGGATATTTAACTTACACATCTTTGGATTGACGAAAAGAAATCGAATCATTTTCGAACAAATTTACAATAAGTAATGGTGCATCACCAATTTTATAATCCTCAAAGATAACTTTAACACCATCGAAATCTGTTGCTGTGACGTCTATATGAATAGCTGGTCGCTCTTCATCATCCATACGCAAAAGTGTTCGGTATTTTTGATTAGTTTTAAATGACTTTGATGTTAAACGATTATGTGCATAACGCACATGCATTAAACCATCTTGTATACGCCGTGGCCAAAATGGAATCAGCTAAAACTAACTATTCTTATCAAATCAACGTTTTACAAAGACTTATTTACTTGTTCGGGATTAATTGTTTTCCATTCGTCTTGTTCTTCACCAGATACAGTTTCAATTACTTCAATGGTAACCTTTCAGCAGAAGAAAAAAAAATTATGAATACTTAAGAAAAAGTCTTTTTCAAACATACCGTTGATTTGTTAACGATAAACATTGATGGTGAAAGTGTTACAAGCTTTGTTAAACCAAATGAACTTGTCACAATATCGACGCAAATCTATAGAAAAAATTTCTTTGATAACAACCCTTTTTTTTATAAGTAAACTTGTCCATTACCATATATGTTCGATCATTGGATACTTTGCAACTTGTTAAACCTGTACTTTTAATAACATCAAGAGAAAATTTTTCTGACCATTTCGATTGTGCATCACCTTGTTCAGTACTATGAACAGCAATTTGTCCCTGATAAAATGGCAAATATTATTTGTTTTTATTCAAATTATTCTTTTGTTACTTTTTTGCTTGCTTCATTTTCTATTTTTTCTGGACAAATTAAATACGGTCTTTCAACAACATCAATCAATGTTCGACTATTCTCAATCTGTTCAAATGAATCTCATAATAAAATTTATGAATTTCATAATAATTTACTTGAAAATCAAGTTTAAGATCTGTTCGATTGAGAATCCAAAATGGTGCATAAAATAATAGACGATATGATTCATGAAATGCATCAACACGCAAAATCATTCTCTTAAATAAATAACTGTCGATACACCTCATGTTTTTAGTTAAAAGGCTTTTACTAGTATTTGTTGAGAACTTGGATCAGTTTCATTATGCAAGGTAACAATGTGTTCATTACTATCACTTTGTCCTTGAACTTTCAAATCAATCGGATCCGAAACCCATTTTATATTATCATTTGATGGAATCTAATATCAACACAAATCATATTAAATAAGAATTAAAAAATAAATAAAAGATTTACAGTAAAAATTAATGACGAAGTTTTGCTGCCATATGTAGCTAAATAGAGTTCACTTGGTTTCAAACTAAATTGTTCAATATTCTAAATAGAAATATAAGATTATCGATTCAATGGAAAGAAAGTATTGAAACAATGGTGAGAAATAAAAAGTTGCATATACAAATGATGGCATTTTTTGCAGAGTAAAAATAATTACGACAAGCTTTTGTCCCTTTCAAGAAAGTCTGATTGCAACCAACTCCTTATGTCAAAAAAAAAACGATGGCTTTGATACATAAAGTTTATCTTGAAGTAAGAAGTTTGTTATACATTCTTATGTTATCATCTATATTAAAGGTGAATTCAATCTTTGACTTACGTCAATTGAACATTCAACATCGATTGGTAAAAGACTTGTTAGATGAAGTGCTGGTTGAATATAAATATTGAAACTAAAATCGCCTAGTTCATCAGTATTTTCTGAATATGAATCCATCACTTCTTTAAAAACCTACAAATAAATCATTATGAAATGTGAAAATTTTTTCACTGAGAATTCTTACAATAAAATCTGCTTGTTTTCCATTTTTTAATTTTAATTTAGTTTCAGTCAAAATTTCTTTTGCCCAATCAAATGAAAAAAAATCATGTACTTGTTCATCTCTACAAGAAACCAACAAGTAACTTCTCTTGTATTTTTCAAATATTTACTCATCAACAGTCATAAAGATCGACTCATGCGCGTAAAGTAAATCAATAGGTACATGATAATCCTTATTAACATCAATTCTAGCTAATCGTTTATATTTTTTAGGATTAGTTAGATCAGTATTTAAGATAAGCAATGGTAATGTTGTATGATTGTAAACTCGAACAATCGAGCTAAGAATAACACGTCGACGATCATTTTCTATTTGGGCATTACAAAGCATTTGAACGGGCAATTTTATATTTGACGATCCATGTAATGTATATGTACGTTGCAATGTTCGATTTATACTAACCGTTTTTTTGACATCTCCAATCTAAAACTCAATTTATTGTTTTTTTTCTATGAAAAGTAAATTATTGTATTTTGATCGCTACTTGGACAGAAAATTCTTGCCGTCGTTGACGATGTTGTTCATCAATAACCGAAAGTCTTCCAACTATTTGATGTTCATACCAAACATTTAATGCGATACTTTCATTTTGTTGAAGAGTTATTGATTTTATGGATGGATCACTAGGGAACTATGAAAAAAAAATTCATCAAAAATAGAATCAATCATGGAACATGCCAAATATACTTGAAGACCATATAAATTACTAAGAATTATTTTTTGTCCTGTTTGATTTGATAGAGATAACATTGGTTGATCATCATCATCATCACTTGGTGGTAGACGTTTATTATAAACATCATCAAATAAAGCTGATAAACGTTGAAGAAGTTCCAGTCCACTTTTTGTCATCGTTATGTTGAGTAATTGATCAAAACGTAACAATATAACTGTTTTAGATTTCATCGGTGAAACATTTGTTTCCGTCGATGAAAGAGTCTTTGAATTCGAATAAAAAAAAAAAACATTTTCTATTTTAAGAGCCAACAATGCGAATGAAGTTTTCATATCAATAAGGAATTCTGAGAAAGAACTCTCAAGTACCCTCATCTGAATTAAATACTTACAGGTGAGACGGTGTATGTTAGCGACCATGGTGTAAAATGTAAACCATCAGAATTCATAGTTGGTTCAATAAGTGGTTCCCAAGTAAGCATATGTTCATTGTATAATGCTGCTTCGATATTTACGCTCGACGACATGTTCATCTAAGTAAATCAATAGAAACAAATTGTAACAAATATGGTTTTTACTTTCGACGACCAATTTTTAACATCAACAGTTAAATTCGATAAACACATAGCTACAACAGATTTTGTAACTGAGCCTAATCCAACTTCAAGTTTAACATCGATTGTTTCCAAATTTAAAATTAACTAAATAAAAATAATAAAAATAGAATTTTCTTTATCTATTCATACTTGTTGTGCTAATGGTTTTCGTGTTTCTTCTGTAAGAGTTGTCTGCTGCACTGGTCTTATTTCTTCTACATTATTTTGTTTTTCGAATTCTAGTTTTAATAGAATATATTATTCAAATTGATGGAAATATTTCATAATACCTTTTGTAAACCAAAAATTCCCTTCTTTGAATGGTTTCGAAATAAATAATCCTTTCGAGGTTAAGGTTTCTGTTTCCTCTTGTGTAGAGGACTAAATATAAATAGTAATAAATATTTAATTCACTTGATTTATCTTTCTTTTTTTTTACTTGTCGTGTTCTCAATGAATTTGTTACACTAATCACAGTTCGAATAGCAGCTGGTGCAATACTAACAATAATATCTGATATTCGAATATCAATTTTTTGTTGTTCATCATTCATTGTAAGAAATATATCAGCTTTAGCTGGTTGTAAAATCTTTAATAGAAGAAGCAACTAATATATGGAAAGAATAAATTATTATTTAACTTACACGATATTTTACTTTCGAACCAGAATTCTTCGTATCCTTTAATTCAGCAAAATCTGAACTATAAATTGTTAAATCTTTTAACCAACCATACAATTTTGTCTGATTATCAATTTGAATCATACGCATTTGTAATGCCAACTAAAGTACGAATAATAGATAAAATGTGTACTGAATTATATTGACTAAAACTTACATCAAGTACAAGACAATTCGAATTTGAATTATGATAATCTTCAAGTAAAATAATTTCTGGATTTTTTACAGAAACTTCAAGTCGAGTTTCTACATCTCCATTTGAGGGTTGACTTGTTGTAGCTACAAATCAAAAGATTTATTTTCAATATGAAGATATTCGCATTGAAGAAAACTTCTAATACATTGTGATGATTTCGAAGATACAACTTCTGCTTTCGTTTGATTCTGATCATTTTCAGATTGATCAATTTTTGTTATTGTATGTTGAGTTTCAGCATTATCCGATGGTAAACCCGAAACAAAAAAGTCTTCTAACGTCATTAAATAATCCAAATTTATACAAATATATAAACTTTCAAGTTGTACAGTTACTAATAATGGAGAATTAAGTCAAAAGTGTATGAAAATAATGACTTCCATTTACTTTGTCGAAGTCCTTTTTCACGTGTTTGATTTTTGGGTTTGAATTCAAACGACGCAACAAACATATAAGCATTAGGATCAACTGTAAAATGTCTATTCATCATACGTGTTACACTTGTTGGCTTATTCGTTGCACGTAAATCATCTAATAAAAAGTTTTTTACACGTCCTGTTGCTTTATAACTGCCATCAGATTGTTGACGAAATATTGCTTCCAGTGTATCTATTTGAACATTGGCTAATTTTAATTTATTGTTACGTGGTGCACGACGAACAGTCTGATAAAATATAAATTAGAAAAAAAAAAATATTGCGTTCAACAAGCGAAACTAACCAAATCTGATTCACCAAGATAAAGTGTCAATGTCATTTTCTTAATTTCGGCTCGCATTTTTAGTGTTTGTAAAACTTCGTCAGTATGTGATTCTAAAAGAATCATTGATACATTTAAGAATTTAGTTATTCTATAAATGAAAATCTTTATTTAACAAACCCTTTTGTTTCTTGATAAAAGCATCTATCAATTGATCTTCTTGTTTTTCCTGTTCAGCTTCTTTATAATGAAATTGATCACTTTGAAAATCTTCGGATATTTGATCACGAATATTTTCCGAGAAATTCTCCATTAAAACTTTCATAACAGATGTATAATCATCATTGGCCAATTGAAACTATTTAAAGTAAAACAAAAGACTTGAACTATTAAATAGAGAAATATGTAAAAACATGTCATTACATCAACTGATTCCCAATCGATTATAATTGAAATTGCTGGTTCCATTTTAACTTTATCGGGATAGAGTAAACGATGAATAGATGTATTTAATTCTGCACATTCAATGAGAATTGCTTCACCAATTATATTACAATCCTGATCAAATTTAACACGACTAGCAAGAATATTTTCCAATCGAACAGTTTGTTGTTCAACAAGAAGTTTTTTTGGATCATTATAAAAATTAGTTTTTAATGTTAGTTTACCCAAATCAAGAAAAAGTGCTTGATCTGAATATGAATTTATTGGAATGATTATATTTGGAGCATTAAATGTGACATCAAGATGAACTTTAAATGCTTGTTCTTGTAATTTTTGTACTTGTTCATAAGCAGCACTAGCTTGTGTTGACGCTAGACTAAGTGCTGCTTTGGTTACATTTAATGAATCGAGAAAACTCTTTAAACGAGATATTTAAATCAAATAGGTTTTTTTTCAAGGTTCTTACTAGTATAGCATCGATATGTTTAAATAGAAAGACTATCGTAGCTTTTGCAAATTGAACTTGAATGTCACAATCATAAACATTGACGCTTTTTACATATCCTTCCGGATAATTAAATAAGGATAAATCAATACGAAGTAATTCTTTGCTATCACCTTGTTGAGAAATAATCTTAAATAAAAAAAAAAAAGAAATAGTTGAGATCAAAAAGAATTCTTTTTATTTCAATATTTCCCATACTTGTCGATATTGTGCTTCTTTGTATGGATCAAGCACACATAAATCAGAAAGAATTAAATTTATTAATGTTTTTTCTGGTGCTTGAGAAACATAGGCCTTGATTCCTAAATTCAATGCAAATATTAATCGAAATCATAGAAACAAATTTTTGTTTAGCTAACCTTGAACTTGAATATCAAATAGTTTTGCTTTTTTGGTTGCAAGTCTCACTCGAAATTCGTCTAAATTGGCGTCAATTTTAAGTGAAGGTGCTGCAGCATCTAAAAAAGTAGCAAGAATATTAGATTCATGCTTATCTTGCGAAAAATGTATTACTATTTTTCTTAACAATTTTTTCTACTTTATCATTGACTTCAATGTTTTTCTGTTTTGTTTGATCTTCGATTGTTGTTTGTGGTAATTTTTTCATTAATGAATCTTGAAATCTGAATATTGATAAAAGTGCTTCCAATTGTAATGTAACAACAAGTTTGCTAAAATGAACTTGAACTTTATCTTCAATTCCATCATAATCATATGATAAAAACAATGGATTTTCTGATGATGTATGACGATATTTGAAATGAACTAATTTTTGACTCTCAGAACTATTCATTTGTTCTAATTCAGATGACAATAAACGTAAATTTTTATTATCTTTGCCAACAAATTGTTCATGATAAACAATTAAATTTGCTAATGATGCATCAAAGTCCATATCAAAGGTTTTCATTGTAGTTTTAGCAACTATTGATTCGAGTGTTAAACGAAGAAATGGTTGATCTTCATCTTTATCATTTGAACTTTCATCAATATGTATATCGATCTTTGATAAAAACAATGATTTATGTTTATTCGTTAAAGAAAATAAATTTTTACTCTATTAAGTGTAAACATTGCTTTCAGTTGTGTTAATTGTCCTTCGAATTCTTTCTTTTTTTCATTATTGTTAACGGATTTTTCTCTTTCATCTGTTTCTTTCACTAGTGCTATTCTCTCAACTGCTTGCAAAGTTTGTTCAGTATCATTCAATGATGATTGTACAGGGAATGACTAGAATAATTAAATATTTATTCATTCATAAGGAAAAGTTCACCGAACTTCTGCTTCAATTGATGGTGTAACTATTGCTGGATTTTTTGATTTCGGCACGGGAATTGATTTCATATGATTGATTATTTGAAATAAACGTTTATCAGATAAACGTAAATCTACATTAGGAAGATTTCCAGTAACTTTCCAACTAGAATAAATAATCGAATTAATAATATTAAATGTAAATCTTAACCAAGAATAAACTTACGCAGGTAAATCAGCATCATCAGTATAAATACATTTTCCAAAATCTAAATCAAGTTTCATTGGTTTAATTAAATGTAAACGAGTATCTTTTTCTTGACGAGCTTTTTCCCAACTTTCATCTAAATAGAATTTTAGTTTCAAATATTATTTCTTTTTTTTACTATCTTACTTCGATTTGCATAAATTAATTGAATGTCTTCAAGTTTTAATTTAAATTGAGTATATGACTTTTCACGAGCTTCTTCAATATCCTATTACGAATTAAAGTATAACGAAATAAAAACAAAGATATGTTTTTTTTACTTTTGCTTCTTTTAATGAAGTCATTTGATCTCCTTGATCACTTCGTTTGAATGTTAAATGACCGAAATCCATACACATCACTGCGACACCACTAAAACAAAAGATTGATATGTTTACAAGACATTCGTAAGTGTAGATTATCTTACTCTTGATAAATTCCATTTTCTGGTAAAAGAAAATAAGATGATTGAAGATCAAGATAAACATCCAACACTTTGATATTTTCAATATTATGCTTCATTAATATATATGAACGATGTTTAACATCTGTGTAAGTTGAATAAGCAACTTGTTTAACACTAAATTAATTTTCATAAGTAAAATAAATTCAATTTGAATTATAATTTACCCTTGAAGATTTCGTTGAGTATCTTGTTCAAAACATTCAGATAATTTATTAATTGTTGGCTAAATGTAGGAAGTTTTTTTTTTGAATATATCTCAGAAATAGAATTGAATACTTACAGCATTATATTTAATTTCAAGAGATTGAGAAATGACTTTAACACGAAAATCAGCTAATTTGTCTATTGGATTTGTTTCATATTCAAGTTCTAATAATTTCTTTTCCGTTTTCGATGTTGACGACAATAATAATCGAGAAACAGGTTGAGCAAGTACAGGACGACTTTGATTAGAAAAATCCGATTCATTTGGATCTGTAGCAATACCAAAAACTTGAAATGAACCCAAACCAACAGATACTCTACATAAAAAAAAAAACAAATGATCAAAAAATCATACAAATCTACTTTTTAAACATACGCCATTGCTGATGTTACTGGTCTTCGCTTGAATTGTAAACTGGTATCAGGTATAGAAGCTCGAGCTATGACTCGAAATCTAGAAATAGCATGATTAATATCGATTTTCAATAAAATATATTCACTTACTGAGCATCATTTTGATTAACTTTCGACCAAATATTGACTTCAAGTAAATTTAATTGAATAGCTAGATCAATATCGATATACTAAAATCAAACAAAAGTTTATTATTTTTCTCCTTGAGTTTATTATCAGTGATTAAAAATCTACTTCTTCAGGATAAGTCGATGTTGAAATATCATCTCCTTCATAACCAATAGCATCATAGAGTTTTTTCTTTTCATCTGGTGACATTACTTTTTGTAAATCGAGGTCTAGAAAGGAAATTTAAACAAATACTAATGATAATAAAAAATGTTTGAAGAATAAACTCGGATCATCTTGTGGTTTATTTCCACTCCACCAACTTGACATGCCTCCCCACCAAGTCTTGGATTCTTGTTCTGTCTTTTTTTTTGCTTCAATTTCTGCCGCACACCGAACATATGTTAAATTAAAAACATCAAGTTTTTTTTCTAATTCCTATTTTAAAGTAGACAAATTTTATTATTAAATTTATTCTATAATTTATTTTACTTGTGCTCGTTGTCTTTGTTCAACTGTTGCTCTTCCTAATAAATCTTGAATATAAATCGAACGATATTCTCTTCGACGATCTAAATGTGTTTTGATATTTTTCCATTTATAGCAATCAAATCTTGGTCGAACATCTTCGTTGACAATGGCTTCATATGCGAATTTCCATCTGAGAATTCATAACAAAATATAAATTTTTGATTTCCTATAAATGAAATTACCTTTTTCGACTAGGTTTTTTTTCGATATCATTTTTAATCTGATATTTAATATATTTCGATTTAATACTAAGATAATCTTGAAATTCAAGTAGATCAAGTAAATCTAAGTACTAAAAACTAACCGATAAAAACACAGAAAGTCTTTTCAATTCAATTTACCTGATCACGATTAATATTTAGACTAATTTCATCTAAATCAATTTTGATATCAAACATTGGTTTTTTAAATTCTTGTTGACGTGGTTTCATAACTAAGATAATTTTTGCTTTGATATTTAACGGTCGAAGAACTAAGCAATTAATGATAATTTTCATAAAATACGTTAAATCAACAATTTACTATATGATAGATTCTTCGGTACTCTTTTATTGTTGATGGCTATGTGCTCTTTTAAACTTTTCTATATTTAAACAACAGCAAATACCAAATCAAATAAAAAACAAAATATTAAGACATACAAGAACTGCATTTCTGGATAACCCAGATCGTGATTGAGCATTCGTATTCCAATAGATTGATAATGCACTTAAATCACCAAGCTAAAAGCAAGAATTTCATGATACAAAACTGATTTTCTCTCTTAGCTGTTTTTATTATGGTCAATAAATAAAAACAGTAAAATGTTTTACTTTATGAATAAATGCGGTATTTTCTTTGAGTACAGTTGGCTGCCAATCTGGAGTAGTTGTCTAAAAATACAAGCAAAATTTTTGATTCAATATAATATAATTCAAAAATAGTACATGTAAGGTAATATAATTCAGTGTAAATCCAATAACAAATGGATGCTTTGGTTTTGTCGATTTGTCTTCATAGACAACATGAATATTTCGAATTGATAATTCTAAATTTCGAATAATTTGTAACTGCATACGTTCCATGAATGTATCATTATTTTGATTAGATTCTTTAGCGTTTTCTAAAATGAATAACAACATTTTTTTTTACCTTATGAGGGAAACAATTTTAGTTCTTACGTTCAGCTTCTTGTTCTTTGCGAAGTTCTTCTATTTTATGAACTTCTCGCATTTTGGCTTCGTGTTTTTCTTTTTCATCACGTTTAGCATCATATTCAACTTCTATGATATAGATAAACAAGTTAGATATTTTATCACAAAACAAAAACTACAAACCAGTTTTTGGTACAACTAATAGGAAAAGTCCATCGATTATTACTTTAGTTGGACTTATATATATAGTTTTCCATGGAACTTCTAGGGTTAATTTTTCTGCAATTCATAAAAACAAATCAATTATAAATAAATACAAAATTTTGTTAAATTGAATTTACCAAGATAACCCAACGATATAGTAACAGGCAGATTCAAATCATCCTATAATTATATGTATATATATATATATAATTGAACTTTCATCTTTAAAATTAAATGAACATACTAATGCATTTGATTTTAAATACAGATTCTCCAGAACAACATTCCCTAATTTTGATGAATTATATATAAACAAAACGGTTGTGAAAAAGAACTTACCACTCCATAAATCAATTTTAAGTTTTTTTGTATCTAAGTTTTCGATGTAATCACTCAAATATTTATCGAGTAAATAAACAACTAAATTTTCAAAAACCATCTTGCTACTGTGTTAACATGCGTTATGATACCTATAAGAATTATAGTGGTAGACGGCAAATATTTGTCTTAAGTGACAACCTATTTATACACGAAATAAGATTAGAATTTTTTTTTCTTTTCTTATCATTACTGAGATCAGATCGAGTAAGCGAAATAAACAACTGATGTATCATTTTACGCATGTCTATTTTGAGGGTGGATGAAAGAATAACCAAATCTTACGATTTAGACAGAATCTGAACACTTAATTAAAGAGGAGTTCGGGTTTTTCTAAGATCTGCATGAAGATAGGCATTCTAGTCAAGGGGCGATAAACTGACTTGCAACCAACATAATCTTTGTCAATTTTGTTGCAAGTGAATAACATTGCCAACTGGGTTTTATTCTTCTCACCAGGAAAAGATGAACCCAGAAGCGAACACAATCATTTATTCGTTAATTGTCGACAGGATTGCTGCTCAAGAACCATGATATTATTAACTCTTACCAGAGATGCGATGTCAGCATGCGAGGACATAGAAAGATCATTGAAATTTCATACCTGAAGAAAATTGGTGATTTTTCAAGCAAACATCTTCTGATTTGTTGACAAAAAAACGAATGCAGAATGAAAAATATTGTGTCTCCACGTTTCAACACAATTTTGTATGCAAGCTCGTAGGTTTCGGCAAATTCTCTTATGCTTCTCCATTGAATTTTTTTATTATGTTTCTATTTCTCACTCCGAATAAAAATTGAATCAATTCAAGAAGATCAAATGAGTAACCTTCATTGTGTTAATATCACACTGAAGATATGTATATATACTAAATTCATATTTTTCCATTTGTTTAGTCGCTTAATTTTGTTTCTACAATTACTATTTCATGATTGGAAGAGCCTGTTTATACGGATGAAAATATATGAATTTGAAATATTTTATTTTATTACAATTCCCTCATAGAAACATTTTCTTTTTTGTGATTATAAAAAAATGAAATACTCTACTTTATGTATTAAATTAAAGTTTCACACAACTGAATCAACAACTTTTATTGAGTGACCTTCGACAGTCACAAATAAAAAAAACAAATTATAAATGAATGAAAGGGTGTGGGTGTGGGTGTGGAAGTAGATTTGATAGTCTTCACTCTCGCCAATAACATCAAGACCCACACCCACACCCACACTCCGATCATCTCCGAAAACCTTCGAGTGTTTGGTCGAGTACTTTTTCAGAGTCCACAGGTTTTTCGGAAATTCTTTCACCAGTAGAAAGAGCAGCGTTTGTTCTACTTGCTCTCCAAAAATCACTTATCTATCGTCTAGCATGACTGGAAAACGAAAAAAAGAAAAATTTTTTCGGAGGTGGAGATCGGAATTACCGCATAAGATTGTATATGTATTGAATTATATAAGATGTTTGTTACGGAAAAAATGGTTTCGGAGAAGTTTTTGAAAAAAACTCTCCCGAACAGTTGTTTAAGCAGGATTGTACAGAAAAAGTTTCTCTACAAAACGTACTATCTCAAAGCGCACAGGAATGCTGCGTTGAGGAGTCGTAACAACCGACATTTATAGGAGTTTCCATCAGTTTTGTCTTTTCCTTATAAAACTGATCATCAATTTTGCCCCTCATATTTAGATGTTCTATAGGAACTTTTGTCACTCGACTTATGAAATCAACTATGCTCTACACGAATCTGAGGCGTAATATTAATTTGAAGATGGTCGATGTTAGCTGTCAGAGATCCGGTGGAATCATTCACAACCTGCTGTTGAATCTACGCTCCCAAGTCTGTCAGTCGCGTAACTGAGTTGCGAATTCCTCATTGATTTATGCGTAATGCATATAGCATAGCAACTCTATCAACGAAAGGATTAAAAATTGGCTCTCTGGTAGATGCTAACAAATGTACAACGTAGTTCATAATAATTCTCTCTCTGCCTTCGATTGATTCGGTAGAGAGCATCGTTATTGAATCGATACTTCTCTTTATGTTTCGTTCAGAATAGCTTCATTCACACGGTTAAAAGGACAATCATTCCGAGCACTAAATCTGAAACTAGCAGCTAGTCTAGGCTGAGAGACCTTCATGATTGCAAAGATGTTGGCTAGTTCGTAGTCCACTCACTGTTGGTCTTTGACACGAGACAATATCAAAACCGTGAACATAAATCGAGAAACTGCTTAGTACCTTTTCCTTAGAAAAATCTAAATGTCTTGATTCCTGACTGATCAGTTCTCACCCTCACGATGGCTACGCCCTCTTTCTGTGAGTTTCTTTCTCATCACTTACCAAAAACTCGGTTTCTGTTGGTTAATGAGTGATCTATAGGATTTCGAGCCAAATAGACACCGAGTTCGTGATCTCTGCCCCAGGAAACCCTCTAGAGACCCAACCCCGATAACCCCCTAGTAACCTCCCGGTAGAGACCTCCTAGAGACGCTCCTCTAGAAACCCTCTGAAACCCCTTTAGCACCACTGCTTTGAAGGAAAAACGTGTTTTTTTAACCTTTGACCTTGACACAAATCCACAAACAAACTATTTTCTTTTCATATCACCCTCTCTATAGTCGAGGGAAGAACAGAAAAAATGGAAGACGTGAAACTTCTTTTTTTTATATATAAATGCTGCGACGTAAAAGAACAGAAAGAAATTGCAAAATCGAATGAAATTTACGGTAGATAACCAGTAAAAGCTTTTTAAAAAGAAGAAATTCTCACTATACACATCGTGTAACAATCATACGTTTCAACGAAATATACTTTTGTAGAAACTCCATCGATGGCAAATGTGACGTTATCGCTTCATACATTACCAGTTGAATTGGTTTACCGTATTCTTGATCATTGCAACAATTTTACACTATTCTGTTCAACACGAAATATCTGTGCACGTATTAATGCGATTGTTGATAGCTATCATCGTTATCAGGTAGATTATTTCGCTTGTTTCATTCTTAAAATTTTTATTATACACAGAACGTGATTTATTACTATAATCTATCACATCTCCTTAATGTTCTCTTTGCACTATTGAATATGATGCAATTAAAATCAAAACATCGTATTTCTTTTTCAAAACACAGTTCCTCTTCTATTCCAGAGGAACTTTCTGTTTCACTACATACACCTCTCAATATTCCAGAAATTCCCGCAGGGTGCAAATACGTGGAAGAATGAAAGAGTAGATTGAGGAACTGGGAGCCATGACTAGCTGTGCAGTCGGATAAATGACACATATAGAGTTTCAGAGCAGCTTCTTCGAATTCTAGTAATTAAACAACATGTTCATCAGAATACAAGGAGACTACCAAAATGATACAATCTTTTGTTGCAGAAAAACTGCAAAAATAAATTCTGTATAAACCAACTATATGTTGAACGGATACAGATATTGTGAAACAAGTATGCTAGTTTTAAACAGCCGTATATATGTACACAATATGAAGAACGAAAAAATACTCTAAAGTTTATGTTAAAAATAGTCACTATATAATAGTGCTGTGAATGTAATTTTACAATACCTGTATCCGTTCAACGTATAGTTAGTCTATACAGAATCTATTTTTGCAGTTTTTCTGCAACAATAGATTGTATCATTTTGGTAGTCTCATTGTATTCTGATGAGCATATTGTTTAATTACTAGAATTCGAAGAAGTTGCTATAAAACTCTATATGATGTTTGAATTAATTATCGTTCATTATATATTTTAATCGGATAAATGACACCTGAGACGGCATGGAATAGTTTAATGAAACTTGAAATTATGAAAACAATTGTTCAGACTACAATCCCTAGAAGATCAACATCATTCATTGTTTAATAAACGAAAATTTCCGCACAACTATAGTGTTGTTATTTGAAACATTTTTTGGTGACTGCTCTTATTAACCATAATGATCTTGATAAAAACAGCACAGTTCTTTCTACATTTACTAAATTTGTTGCCATGGACTGAAAATTTTGAATTCTAGAGCATTATCTTCTTGATTCTCTTGTAGACAAAATAAATTTAAAATGTATAAAGCTCTTTTATGCATAAGGAAATATATTTATTTCAATATTTTATCATGAATGAGTACAAGAATTTGTGAAATAGTTAAATAAGTAAAACAAATTCATTCAAGTATTGGCAAGTTCTTGCATATTAGTTGCCATATGCGAAATGTATAATTGAATAATCTTTTGACGTATAGCATTAGATCCATTATCAATTGTTTATTCAAGTTTTGTTCTAGTTTTTGGATGTTGTGATTGCACGTAATTCTTGAGCCTAGACCAGACATATTCAATCGCATTGAATTCCAGTGAATAGACTGGAACGTCAATGAGTTGTTATTTATTATCTTTAAAACATGGTAACGTTGATGTTGTTTTATGTAATGCAGTATTGTCTTGTTGAAAGAAGGCATGAATAAGTTTTGATAGGTGTAGTGCAAGATGTGTCATAAGTAGATATTGATGCAATGATGAATTCATATAACTTCCGTATCTACTGAATGCTTTTCTATGCGAAGTTCTCCTGTTTCTTCAAACACACCGTTGTAATTTCACTGGCACCCATGTGAAAAAAAAATAAGAAAAAACCACATTATAATCCATTGAATTCCGATTAATAATCGATTAAAAGCGTATGATTTTAATCGACCATAAATCAGAATTCAAGCGATTATAATCATTTTTGAGTTGATTTTCCATACAAAATTTTTCTACATGGGTAACGGCATTCGGTTTCTTTTTAATTACTTTATTTAACTTTCTCATTTTGTCACCATCCAGAGACATACCATGATCAGTTGATGTTCCACAACTTACTTTTCTTGTTTCATTGTGATGAGGTAATATATAACTAATCGCAGCAGGAGTACACGTATGACGCCTTGATTTTATTACTAGTATCTTGTCATCACCTTCTCTTTCCATTATTATTGCAAAACGTTTATTACCACTGAAATGACTCATTTTCGTCTACTCATCTAAAAACCAAAACATAGAAAAACAATAAATAA